CCCAACACGGTTGGATGGTCCCGACGTCTGTAATTGTAACGGTCAACGAAGCTCGGAGATATCTTGCGACGAGTATGTTTGGAGATGTAAAATGTGGATGAAATTAAATTTACGTTTCTACAATAAAAATTCTTTTTTAATTGTTGAAATGAGACATACAAGCTCAGTGCTTCAGGATAATAGAGCATTTTGTACAAAAGACCCGTTTGACAGACGTCTTATTCAGGATCCTCTGAACCCTTCTTGCAGATGGTGACGAGGCGGACAGGAAGTGGATTGGCTCGTGTTGAGTCGAAAGAGGAATTTTGAATCACTTTATAAATGGTTTTTGACGTCAGAAAATTGTTTCATCGAATTGGTATTTACTCACGAAAGAAGGACTGGTGAATAAAAGTAGTCCCTTTTGTTTTTGACTGTACATCGATCCCACTTCCGCTTGACTCCCACAAACGTCTGTTTCTTGGTAGTTACACCACGCTAAATTGGAACCTTATGATTGGAGACAGATGAATGGTTGGGTCAGACAGCAGGCCAGCTCATTAAGTGAATGTTTGCAGGGCGATGCGTAAAACTTCCCTTAATTGAAACCCGGGTGGCTGAACATTCTTAACTCTTAACAAGCCTCTGCTTCTCGGAGCGTTGTGTCCAGTATAAGAAGAGTCCAGCAGCCAGACGTATTTATTAATTGGTACCACGGTGGTCTAGCGGTTAGAACGCTGGCCTTGTAATGCTGGGGTCTCGGGTTCGATTCCAGGCGGTGCCCGAATTTATAACTTGTGTTGGGCAAGGCCGTGGTCTAGGCAACACGGAGTTTTCCTCCGGGGCTTCCCCGGTTTCTCCATTCACACAAAGAAGAAGGCAATGGCAAACCACTTCTGGATCATCTGCCAAGAACGTATATGAACAGGTCCCAGTCCGAGAAAAGGATGGAAGGATCCTGTTCATATGGACCTGTCGTCAAACAGAACACTAAATAATAAAAAAAAAACGTTCACACACAGAAGAAGGCAATGGCAACCCACTTCTGGATCATCTGCCAAGAACGTATATGAACAGGTCCCAGTCCGAGAAAAGGATGGAAGGATCCTGTTCATATGGACCTGTCGTCGGACAGAACACGATGTAAATAAAATACCCGGACGGCTGAAACAATTGTTAGTAGATAATGCATGGTACATTAACCAACTATCTTTGGCATTTCGCTAACATTTGTTCTTTTGCGAGAGGCAAACGCGTTTTGGTCATTCGACCATCTTCAATGTTTTCGTGCGTTCCACTTAAATGTAATTATGTAGCCAGTTAAAACACGGTTGATTTATAAATAAATTAAGCTTTAAAGTAAAATGGTTATGTGAGATTCGTGTAAAAGTGTTCGGAACATGGCCAAGGATCATTAAATTACATACATATTACATGTTGCATCAGTGTTTGCGTAGATGTCGCTGTATGCCCAAGGGACTTTAGATGCCCCCAAAGACAGTTGTCCGAAGGAATTAGGTCGGGTGACCTCGGCGGCCAAACAAGTGGACCCTGCCGTACTAGGGCTGAACTGAGCTGTTGGATTGCATAATGGATGGTTCCTCTTACATTATAAACGACCAACCCTCTACTTCCATTTCAGGAAGGTTACAATGTGCGTAAGTGTTTGCGGACGTCGTTTCTGAAACTTTGTTAGCAAAGAAATCAGCTCTTACGCGCAGTGAAATGCTGATCACCGAAAGATCATTGGTAGCTTTCAATAATGGGAACTGTAAAATCAAGGAATAATAATTTGGATTTGAAGTTCTCACAGTTGCAATTCCGAAGATATCTGTCTTCTGTAGTCTGACAGAAGTTTACCAACGTTTCGGGGCCCCTTGCAGCCTCCATCATGAGGGCGATCGTTGGTTTGTAACGTTGTTGTACCAGATTATATGACGGCACAGAACAGAAGACGGCCATCTGAAGGGAATAAAGTCCAGAGCAGTGTCGGAGGTACTCCTCGTTACATTACCAAACGGAACAGCTCTTACCCGGTGTCCTACGTGAGCGATTAAGTGTGAGCGGTGCGAGTTGCGTGGGTGAAGCAGAAATATCAAACTGGCTGTTTGTGTGGCGCTGTCCTATGTTACAGCGAAGCGGTCGCCGGCCAAAGCCGAGATCAAATATTTTGATATTTTCGCGCAGGTCGCTGCGCTGGCCAGTAAGGCGCATGCGCAAGGAAGCTCTGACTGTGCAGTACAGGGAAGGCGCATGCGCAGGAAGGCCGTGTGTTTCTCTCACGTAGGACACAACAAGCGATTCCCTTATGTCATATGACACCCCATGCTGCTTATGCAGCTCGCACAGCTCGCTTCTTATCGCTTACCTAGGACATTGCCTTAAGGTACATCGGCACAGCGTGTATATCTCGAGAAGTGAGTCGAGCCGAATAAAACATTGAAGGGAGCTGAGAGTTTGACGTACCTGATAAATAATAAATTAGACAAGGACTGACTAAGAACTAAGGTTGAAAGAGAGGTTCGTTCCATTACCTCGTGTTTCTAAAATTAACATGTCCGAACAGAAATTGGTTGTCGGTGTTTGGACCTGCGGGTTATGCTACCAGGGAGTTTGGTTAGAACCGAGCTATAAAGTTTATTTGATACGACATATCGTTCAAAAACTTGCCTCACTCCTATGCAGGGTTGGATTTAAATATTAGATTTGAGTTCATTTTCTTTCTTGTGGTTACACACTCATGTACATGAAGCAGGGTGGTCCAACAGTTTACACACCTGACTCGTATTCTGGATGTAAATTATTCCAATCTCGTCCGGAGACCTGATGTCCTCTGGTTTTGCGTTGTGCTTGAAAATGGATATCGACTCGTTTTCCTTGACGCCCGTCCCTAGTAACAAGTCATCCTGTCTGACCTATCCGAATTTGTTCTACAAAGTTATAAGATAACGAAATGACTAATGATTCAGTTACTTGTGTGGTATTGATTTCTGTGAGCGCTGTGTACGTTACTTTCAGAGCCCCTAACCACTTCATGTCATTCATATCATTCAGGAGATTGCAATATTGTTTTGTGTTGACAGAGCCTCTGAGGGCCCCGCCATGAGGAGAGGGGCTGTGATTGGATCCTGGTGGGGCGTCCTATGCTCGCTCGTCGTGGCCGTCCATGGTGAGTGCAAGTGACTCATTCACAATTAACGCCTGAGGTGGTTGTTTCCTGCTAGTGCAATGTGGACACAGTGAGAACTTTGGATTTGTCACTGGAAAAGCATGGCGCTGTCTCTCACACCCTACGAGACGTGTCTCGTAAAATACGGGTCTTGAAACTGAACACGGAAAACACGCAGTGGTTGATTTTAAATTCATAGAAACAATGTTTGGCCTTTGATGATGATGATGATCTCTTGAGGGAAAAGTTTTTTTTTTTTCAGTTCGTGGTCTTCTGAGTTATTACATTGTTTCATCATGTCAGTAATACTAACCTTTCAGAGGAGCTTACTGCGTCTATCTACAGGGTTGTGAAGCGACTTAAATGCTGAAGATTGTCTTCTGAGTTGTTGCGCCGTGTAGAATGGTAGATGTTTACCAACGTTTCGGAGGTCATACTGCCTCCATCATCAGGGCGATTCTTAGTATGAAGATTTCTGTCTTCTGGGTTGTTGCGCTGTATAGTCTGGTCGATGTTTACCAACGCTTCAGAGGTCATACTGCCTCCGTCATCAGGGCGATGAATTCAGGCAGTATGACCTCTGAAACGTTGGTAAACATCGACCAGACTACACAGCGCAACAACTCAGAAGACAGAAATATTCATACTCATCGTCCTGATGACGGAGGCAGTATGACCTCTGAAACGTTGGTTAACATCGACCAGACTACACAGCGCAGCAACCCAGAAGACAGAAATTTTCTTTCTCACCGCTGTGAAAACATCAGATTTTACGACTTATATGTTGTTGATGCGAAGGCCTTAAGTGGCATGGCGTTACGAATACACGACTCGGACTGTCTTTGTCAGGGGACAGACACGCACAGTTGATGACAAAGCTTCCAAGATGAAAGTCTCTTCCTCCTTCAGAATCATGAAAAAGAAATATCAGAGTTGGAGGGACGGTCGATTACACTTTTGCTCTGATTTCCTCTTCTTTGTGTTTCTAACGAAAACAGCTGGAGGTTGCCGCACTGAAGTGTGATGCTATCAGAGCGAGGCTTGCAGAGAGTCTCTGACGCATTGCGATGTTTTACTGTTTCAGTGAATACCAATGCAGTCATTAGGGATGTGTCATGGAGCTCTTGTGCGTCTTATCTGTGCTTCGAAATGTCTACCATTGATTTACTAGCTTAATCTTCCTCTCAGCAGGTTGGCAGCCCTGTCGTTACATTATGCATGTTTAGAGTGAGTCATGTTTGTTTCAGACTACAATGGGCAGGAAAAGTACAATTATTTGCATCTGCTTAAAATGTTTGCACTCCGTGTTCTTTTATCGGTGTCCCCTTTCCGTGTCGTCGTAAAATCAAACTTCTGTACAATATTACGTTTTTTTTTTTTTTAGAGATTTGTCATTCAAGTAGGCGTAATCGTAATTTATTGGCGCTGCGTTGTACCTAATCCGTCGTTAATTGAATGAACCAGGCAGTGGGAAACATTTTATTATTGGACGTTAAACGAATGTAATTACAGTTGCGCAGTTTGGAATGGGTTGGGCGCGTTTTACAAATGGCCGAAACAAATATGTGTCTTATTTAGTTTGTAAAACGCGTGGACCGAAGATTCCGAAATGTATTTGGAAAGAATTAAATTTGTTACGAGCGAGTGAAGGAAATGGCTGAGGACTGTGTCCAGTGGCTTCCCTTAGTTGTCAGCGACGATCTGTCTGGTGTCGTGACAAGGGGGAACTTTTGAATAGTTTATTTCATGGAATAGTCAGTAACTTTAAGGATTTAAATTCACATGACTGCTTTTAGTGTAGATTTCTGTGTTAAATTTAATCGAAATCTGGTGACTGGTTGCTGAGATGAAATTGTTGGCGGACTGATCAGAGAATTTGCTGTCCGAGACGGGTCTGGCCGAACTGACGTGTTCCTGGGTCACCTTGTCACTTCTAGTTAGTAATGTTTATATAGCGTGTTTGTCGAAGTTCTTAATGTTGATGGAACGTTGAGGAAATTTGAAGGCATCAAGGCGAGATATGAAAGAAACATCTGGTTTGCAGATGGACGGGAATATCGTAAGAAAAATATTGAAATTGGTAAACTTAAAAACGAACGTGAAATGTAGCTTCTATCGAATCATCCTGGTGGAGAAAGTGTGAAATTAAGAAGCAGTCGGGATATCTGAAGTGAAGATATCGGTTGAAGGACTCGGGGAAACGTGAGGGTGGAACGTTTAAACGATTAGTAAAAAAAAATAGGGTATGAATGTGTGGACTGGATGCAGAATAGGGGTAAGTGGTGGGGATTTTGAAAATGCGGTTATGAAATTCGTATACCACAAAATTCGGGTAATTTATTGAGTAACTGAGCGATTGTTAACTTGTCAAGAATTCTACTCTTGCATGCCAAGTCTGTATTGCGTCCTAAATTCCCAATTTCTTTGTCGGATTGATTTAGGATTTTATGATGTCTTGTACTGAAACTTAGTGTCGGACTACGAATTTGGCTTCATTTTCCTGTTGTACTGATGCTTTACTTCAATAATCCATAAATACCATTCGTATCTTTTAATACAAGTTATCTTAAAGTCACGCAATCCAATCCTGATACATATTCTACTTGCTTTATGTACATGTTTGTGGGATAACCCAGTCTGAAGAGTTTTTTATTTCAATGACGTTCGTGGAGAGCGCAAGAAAGTTTGACGGATGTCGACGAAACTATCGTCATTTGACACCTAAGGCCGACCGAAACAGTTCATCAGAAGATTATGTTTGGCGTAGGAGATTCGGGAAATATACCAGGTAGTGTTCGAAAATGAACTCTCTTTGCACTTGTGAAAAAAGACATCCTCGCACTTCAACTGTTTGAAGACAACTGACGGGTCTGGCGCGAACAGGTTACAACATGACGCGACCTCCGTGGGCTCGTGTGTTTATTAATTAATCCAGTCGAATTGTATTTAATTGCAACCATCAGTAACACTTAAGTCGATCATTCTGTAACCGTATCGAAAATGCTTGAAAGAGGACAACTTATTTGGAGCAAAGGGGTGGTTAAATCGAATCCTATTAGGTTTTCTGGCTTGTCATGTATGAACTGTTATATTGTACATGTAAAATTACACAGTTTTGTTGAATTTCAGTACGCAGAATACGTCTCCAGAAATTCTCATTTTACTCCAGAAAGGAAATAATGGCTCTTAAAGATAGACCTTGAAGCAGGGAACCCTTTTGCCTGGCTAAGTAAAGGGCTGACAAACCCTTTGAGAAATTCTGAAGCGTCGATATTTAGATTAGTTCTCTGTTTATGAGGTTATCACGGATGTAAAGATGCAGCTGTTGGTCTTCTGGGTTCTGACCCCCCTCCGTATGGATTTGTAGGTAAATACCAACCGAGAAACATATTGGCTCCATCTTCAGAACACCAGCCCTGAAACTGGAGACATTATGTTTCTCCGAAACGTTGGCATAACTCTTGAATGAATATATTATCACTACCTTACGGCAGGGATTTTTAATACGAAATCTCATCAAACCAGAGAAAGAGCTCGGGAGATCTCCCTCCAAGAGGTGATAAAGAAACGGCTAATAGCTATGCGTCTCGTTTGTGTGCGAATTCGCAACTAAAATTTCCACAATTGCACCTTTTACCTTCTTTCCGTCCGTCTGTCCGCATGTAACAGTTCGAGAACGGCAGAATGGATTTAATTTAATGGGCGAGAACATAAATAACACAAAGAAATACAAAGAAACACTTTTAGACGAAGGCTGGCCGGAGAAATAAATACAGAGAAAATTAATTACATCTCGTCACCAGAATTCTGACAACAAAGTCGTAATATTTTGATGGATAGTAAATTGTAAAAACGTGGCACAGTTAAGTGTTCGTATGCACAAAGAAGGCAAGAGGAGATTGAATTTTGATACTACTGGCAGCCAATTGAGAATCTTATACGTTGTCGTCCAGTGTTTAAAAACGTGAAGATTAAAATTCGCAGAGGTATGAATTTATCTGGTGTTTTGTGTGGGTATGAAACTTTGTTTCTCGCTTTAAAGGAGGAACGTATATTGAGGGTGTCGTGAGAGGACTTCTGAGGAGAAATATTCCAAACTAAGAGGCCGGAAGCTGGAGAATGATAAGGATTTTGATAATTCGTACTTTTTTTTTTTACAGAATATTGTTAGTCTTATTAAATGTTGATTGATTAAATGATCAGGACATGAAATGCGCATTAAATTGTATAATTGACCCAAGAGGAACAATGAGGTTTTACAGAGACGGTGACAGAAATAATTCACTTCGCTGGGAATTGTTAACTTCTTCGTCAGTGGGATTAAATAAGTGGGTACACGCTGTTTGAATTACCCAATGGAGTGTTGAACCGGACTCTGAAGTTGCGTCTTCCCTGATGATTCACATTTATCGAAGAGTAACGTTTTGTTGATCGCCATTCGTAATAGAACATTAAAAATTAAACATTACGAGGTTTATTAATAAAAGTAAGAGTCCGAGGCTTGGATAAAAGCGAATTTTTAAAGTGAGTGATTATTATTTTTCGTTGACTGTGCAATAAAGAACTACGAGGACAAGTTTTCCATGACGGAGCGCCATTTTGTCTGTTATTTAATTAAGTTTTCACCACACGAGAATGATATTGCTCCGAAATAAAACGTAAAACTTGTAGGACATGGCGTACGGTTACATCATGCACCTAGAAATAACAACACCTTCTGCTGTCACTAAGTACAAACTTGGGAATACGTGTCATATCAACGGCCATTGTTCAGACAGCACTCGACTATCAGCTGCTACAGTAGCCGTCAGATCGCATGTTTCACAGCCACGGTTCACAGTTACAGATAGGTTTGCTACGCAGCGAATTCTGCGATGGCGTCACTCGCCGGGGCTCCGGTGTTCGTGTTGCAACCGAGCATAGTTTTGTCGTGACCTTGAAACATGCAATTTGGTGATGGGTCTTGTAATCGGTCCCAAGGGAGCGAAGGCCTAACCGAA